GGGCAGGAGCAAGGGTGGGGATTGGGGATTGAGCAGAGTTTCCGTAGCTTTCGGAGTTTCCACCGGAGACAGCGCTAGAGCTTCCAGAAGAAGATCCATGCATCTGATAGGGTTGTCCGATAGTTTGAATGTTGGAATATCCAGCGTGCGTTGGCAGATACTGTGGATATTGGTAGTAGTTTCTAGGCTCCGGAAGCAAAAGGTAGGATTGAGTGAGCACTGATGGTTGGTTTTGTTGCTGATGTTGATAGTTGCGTTCCGNGTCGTTCTATTAGAGGTTTTACGGTATCTAGTCTACCTTCCTAGGATATGCAAGATATTTTGCCTCATTTTGATTTTCCACTGATCGCAGATCGATTGCCTCGTAGACTTCTAAGCTATCACATTCATTCGTGAGATTCGCAAAAGAGAGCCATAGCTGAAAAAATGAACTCTCTCTCTCTCATTTCATACTTATCTAATACTTATCTAGAAACATACTTCATTATATTTGCCAATATAGAGAGCGAGTTTTTTTTAACCGAATAAACAGCTGATGGCGGTGATTTCAAGTCTTCGAATGCGTCCAAAATGATAAAATCGACGGGGCAACATCGTAGAATCCTGTCTCGCATACTCCTCTTCCTTCAACGTCTTGTCTAAGTTGCTCTTGATTTCTGTCATTCGACACATACTCCAACATTTCATCGTAGGCGTTAAAGAATTTCACGGGGTCTTGTTTGGTGTGACGGATGAAATCTGCGAGAAGAGTACGACCACACTTTGCAAGCCACACGCGTTTGTGTTCATCTTTCAGTGCATTCTGAAAATAGGGAAGTTGCCTGGTTCTAGATATTCTGGAAGTGAAAGATGGCATCTTCAGAACTTTCTACAGTATAAAAATTAAGTTCACCAGAACCATTCAGCAAAGAAAATGCGAATAAAAAAGTTACAAGAAGTGTAAGAAGGGTTATGAAAGATTTCGAATATGCAGTGGAAGTAAGTCTATCTTCAGCATCAAGGATATTATGAGGATTTCTGGACATTATTTTTAATTTGATTTGTGAGAATGGTCAATTTTATATAGCGTTTCATTGAAGTTCGAAAAACATTATATAAAAAATTTGGATCAAGTTTCGATGTTTATCTTGAAAAGAGATTCAGTGGGTGTTCATATTGAATTCAGAAAAAAATTGAAGTGCGATTTTAAAGATTGAAATATTTTTACGCGATCTGTTTCTCTTGCTATGAAAAGAAAGTATACAAACCGTAAAACCTGTAGTAGGAGGGCACCCTAATTTTGAACGTTGAGCCAATTTATCTCGGTTTCTGTTAAAGATATGAAAAATTTGTCAACTGATAAACTTTTTATCATAATATCACAAGCACTTTATCAGTTCACAAATTTTCGAGGTCTCGGATAGGAGTCAAGAGAAAAGGGCTCAATCTTGACAGTGTGGGCGCCCTTCTTTCACAGGTCTTACGATAAGTTGATTTTCGTAATTCATAAATTCGAATTCAATCAGAAATTTATTCATACTTTTGAAATGAAGGCCCGGTATCAAAAATCTTGTATTTTGAGCCTAATTCTGAGCTCTTAATTTAACTTTTTCCAAGTTTTTTTTTGTTTTTTGGCTTGTTTGTCTGTTATAATTTTCCTATGCTTTCAATAATTTTCAAAAAAAAGTCACTTGCTATTTAAAAATTATTTTTGTAAAAACATGAAAATTGGAGAAAAAGGCTCGATCCGTTACAAGTATGCATTTATGAAGATTCAGCTCAACTATGTCTACTTTTGAATCACAAACGTCTATCCACTTTATCTTTATCAGTATAATTATCACCTAAAAACTCGATAATCCAGTGTTGCGCAATCACCTCTATCTCTGCCATATCGTAATAGTACATGCCACGAATCTTTGATCACAATTTCTGATAGAAGGAACTATGTCTTCTTCTGTATCAATATCTTATTAGCTAAATAAGAAGCGAAAAAAGTAGAAAAAGCTGCCACCGCAATTACATCGCCGTGATTTTTGCCATCCAAATGTCTCGTACTCGATATGTGTCTTCTGTCTGATTTTTGGCTTTCAAAAAAGAAACGAAATACGGGTTGTGGGTTGGCACCAGTGGGATCTACTTTTTGTTATTTCGTGTTGTTTTTTCAAGGTTGACTGAGAAATAAATGGATATATAAAAGCCTGATAGTTGAGCTATTACAACCATCGGTCGACTCGATCATGATCTCTTTACATAGTATTATTCTCCTTTTGGGTCTTGTGGCAGCTGCTCTAGCATGCGCTCCAAATATGCCACAGAGAAGTCCATCAAAAGGATACTGCAAGTTCTACAGTAAGTTCATAGAATCAGAAATTTCCATTTTTCGTCTTCACAATTTTAGTCGACGGATCCAGTGACTACGACAGCGCTCGCAAAAAGAGAGACTCTTCCTCATCGTCTTCTTCTTCTTCGTCTGAATCTGGAGGTAGCAAGGGAGGTAAAGGAGGCAAAGGAGGTGGTGGTGGAGGAAAGAAATTCAACCGAAGCAAGAAGAAGAACACGAAGTGCTACGAGTACGAAGATGGAAGTAAGGATCAAGGAGCTGTCCTCAATAAGGGAGTCAAGTACACTGTTGTTGTGACCAAGGGAGAAGAAGTGACCACTGTGAAGCCAAAGGAGGTTAAACACGGACTTTGCCTGTTCTACAGTAAGTTGATGAATCTTTATATTCGTCACATTTATCGATAAATTTCAGTTGACGGAACAAGCGATGTCACCAGTGGTCGCAAGAAGAGATCAACCTCAAAAGTGTTCACCACAACCAAGAAGAAGTCGACCAAGTGCTACGAGTATGAGGACGGAACCAAGGATGAGGGTGCTGTCCTTAACAAGGGAGTCACCTACACCGTCACTGTCACTAAAGAAGTTATCGAATAGACACAATGTTCTTATAAATTATGATTGTTTGTACATAGGGATTGTGTATTTATTGTTTCGTTTGTTTTATAGGATAAGGAATTCAATAAATCGTTCAGGGAAAACTATTTCTCAATTACCTTTACAATTAAACTTTTATTAGAAGATCCCTTTCAATAAAAGGGCTCCTCTAATAAGAGGTTACCTTCAAAATGTGTTGTTTGAATTAAACTTGAAAGAAATGGCCAAAAAAAGGACTCCCTTTAATTGAAGGACCGTTCTAATAGCAGACCCTCCGGAGGTAGCCTGGAATAATAGAAGAACCGGTCCTACTGATACAGGTTTCAAGGTAATTGATGTTTTTCTGTGGATGGTCTGGAAGTTTCCTAACTGTAACATGAATAAATTTTAGACAGCGCTCGGGAAATTTTGAAAAAAATGTTTCGCAGACTTTCACTATATGGGTTGAGATGGTTTCTAAAATTGTGGTAGTTCGGAATCAAGTAAAATTGACTTCATAGTAAGTAAAATTGACTGTAAAATTGACTTCATAAAATCCACATTATATTCAGAATTCTCTGGGACTTCTGGTTAAAAAACCAATATTCTAATATCTCGGCTGCCGGTTTGCAACTACTGGCCAGAAGATGAGGCGGGTTCGGCCTATGGTCGGATATTGACAAGGTTCTGGTCCTAAGTTGCCCGAAGACGGCTGTGTAGCGGGTCATGGTTAGATTTCGGTCGGAAGTTGAAAGTAAAAATACAACCTTGTCATAAATTTGTCGGAGTTTAGTCGGCTTGAGTTGCGATCTTATCCGGAATCTGATCAACCCCCGACCAGAAGTTGCCGACGACGTTCAAGATGGTACCACTTGGCGTCTATTTCCTAGAAACGCCTACCGGAAACCGGAACAAATATTTTTGAGGACCATAAATAAAAAAGAACAAGAAATTAGGAATTCCCGGATCTTCTTTTTTGAAATGCATTAGACTTTTCTGCCACAAATCTTCCTTATATATAAAACGCTACACGCGTCTGTCTATCCTGATGTCAGGCTGTCCGCTTTTAAAAAGTTTGAAAAATAAGTAGGTTTCCGTGACCCTTTAAGAAAAAAATTAGAGCGGAGCGACGAGGCAGTAAAAAAACTAGGTTCAATCGCGCCGAAGGCGCACCAGCTTGCTGGTTTATAATAATTTCACAATTTCTCGCTAATTCATACATCGCGTTTCATTTATACCTAAATTCCTTTCAAACCCGTTAGTATGTATTTTGAACATCCGAAAAAATTCAACAAAACACACTTCAGTTCCTGTTCTATCTTGTATCAGACTACGTCTGTACCGAACCGCTCCGAACAACTTTTTTCAAAGCAAAAATTTTCAAGTCTCATGTGATACGTTACCAGACCGAAATGTAAAATAGTCTAGTGTAATGAGATATTTTCAACATTTTTTATAGTGGATTGATTCTTAACATTGCTGGTATCGATTTCAACTGTAAATGCCTCTCCTTGCAAATTTCAATGATCTATGGAAACCTGAATTTTGTTACGTTAAAACGTATGCAAGTTTGTAACATCCCTCATTATAAAATAGACTACAGTGGATTTCTCCAAATCTTTGATCCATTGATGCCTCTGACGCCTTCATCCGTTGTACAACACTGTAAAAATCGTTGAAGCAAAAAACCAGACGGCAGTGTGTCGCTAATCATATCTAATCGGCATTCAGAGTATTATTAACACTATCACTGTCACCAGACGCATGGGTTGATTGATTACACTGTTCCGCGCGGAAATGCCGTCCGATAAGGAGAGAAACGTTGCCTGCGTTGATCATTGATTAAGCCACGACAGCAACAGCTTTTCAGGTCCCACCTAGCCGGGTTCTGGGTACGATTCGGCTAAAAAAACGATCTAGATCAGTTGAAGGTTAAAAAAAGTTGGGAGGAGTGTAATGATAAATCTCAGAAAAAATTGGGTATATAAGCTGATGCGGAGGTATGAAGATTATCATTCGCTGATCATGCTCTCTCTTCGTTCCCTCATCATTCTCTTCGGTCTTTTGGCTGTCGCTTTGGCATGTGCTCCAAATATGCCAAAAAGAGAAGTACAGCACGGGTACTGCAAGTTTTACGGTGAGACTTTTCAAACTCTCATATTTTGAAATGAATTTTTTCAGTCGATGGAAAGAGTGACACCGACAGTGCTCGTAAGAAGAGAGACTCAGGATCTGGATCTGGATCCGGAGAAGGTGGTGGCAAGAAGTACAACCGCTCCAAGAAGAGAAAGAATGTCAAGTGCTACGAATACGAGGATGGAACCAAGGATGAGGGAGCAGTTCTTGACAAGGGAGTCACCTACACCGTCACTGTTACCAAGAGCTAAACTATATATGATTGTCAGTTCAAAATTGTTGTATGTACATATTGAGATATTTATTTTTGTTTTAAATTGTTTTAATAGGTAGATAAATTTTTATTATACAGAGTTTTGATTCTCACCCAAAAGGATAGTCCAACTCAATGAGCGAAATGAAATTTAGAAAAATATAAGTTTTGAAGTATTCAGGCACTACCAGATTGAAATTTGCATGTTCTAGCAGGAGTGTTATTGTTTTTCTGAAAGATGTTACAAACCATCAAGAAAATTTAAAACAGTCATTGCAATAACTTAAATTGGTTAATACTCAGAATTTTGAAGTGAAAACCGTTATCATTAACCAATAAGAAGATACTGTCATGAAAAGACAAATATCCATTATCTTTTCCTGATACCAAAAATTGAGAAATTAAAAAAAAAATACTTCACAAGCCATTATTGGAATATTGCGGTTCCCGAGATGCAATATGTGTCAGAAAACTACTGGAATACCGTAAAATCTATAGTACAATAGTATATATTTTCCGAGTTCTTTTCGAAAGACCCTTCTCGTACAGAAACACTTCAATTTGTCTATTCTAATACTTGTTATATCAGAACACAGTAAACTGTTAATGGAAAGTATCAGAGATAAGTTTGTTGCAATCGAATGCGCATAATGAGAGAAAGTTTTAAAAGGGAAAGCTTTGTCGTCTCGTTTGAGTAATATGATCAATCATCTTGATAAGCCGCTAAATGACGTAGAACGGACGAAAAAATGAGATGCACTTTTTTACTTTTCGGCAATTTTGAAGACGTCCACATACTATTAGGATGAGCTGTGCGTTAAAATAGCATCATGTAATACAGTATCCCAGCTATGTTCTAAACAATAGAATTCCATGGCGTCGATTCTAAGATCCTCCGTAATCTCAGTTTTTGTAGAGATTGTGTTTTGTTTCCCCGCAACTTGTTATAATGCATCCATCATTTTGTTTCGGCACATCCCCAAAGCAATAGTAGAAAAAGCGAGGATATCGCTCGTTTTTTTCTCCGACTATGACATCGATAAGGATTTTTATACTGCTTTTTGCCGTTTGTTTTATCTCTTTAAATGCATGCGGTGCTGGGCCGGAAAAACCAAAGCGTGGATATTGCAAGTTCTACGGTAGGTACCTCATGAAATGATCCAAAATGCATTGTCATATTCAGTGGACGGATCCAGTGATACAAAAGCAAGCGGAAGAAAAAAGAGACAATCCGGAACAGCCACGGGGTCCGTTGATCCTGCAACAGGCACGGCTTCTGGGTCTGTGTCAACAATGTCAACAATGTCAACAATGACAACCACAACTTCACCAATGGGTGACGGATCCGCAAGTTGATCTGCAAGTGGATCTTCCAGCTCAAGCAGTTCCAGTAGTTCGAGTAGCTCTAGCTCAGGCTCTGCAAGTGGTTCAGGTGGATCAGGTGGATCAGGTGGTCATCAAAATCCAGTGAATCAAGTGAATCACGTCGTCGATCCGGTGGATCAGGCGGATCCGGAGGCGGTGGAGGAGGTGGAGGCTCAGGAGAACTCAGTTCTAAAGGACCCGATGGTAAATTCACGGGAAAGAAAAAGCAGAAGAATAAGAAGTGCTACGAGTATGAAGATGGAAGCAGAGATAACGATGCTAAACTGAAGAAAGGAGTTACATACAGTAGGATTAATTTATAATATTCATGAAAATCGAATGTTTTACAGAAGCGACCATTACTACCACTGGATCATAGGACTTTGGTGTGCAACGGATCGGCGTTCAGCAATATAAGCAGTGCAATCTTTGCATTAATTGATTAGTAGATGTTATAAAAAATTTTACTACCGTTTGATTATCTTTAGGTACTTTAATAAGTACTTTGTAAAATATACGTTGATGTAAAAACCAAAAATCCAAACCTAAAGTTCTACGGATATGAAGACAGAACAGAGGTAAATTGGCTGAATCAGACAAGCGCCTGAGAAAAATTCACAATTGGAGTCTGGAGAGAAAATTGTTCTGTTTTTTAATTGTTCTTCTTCTGTTCCAATAACTTGTGGACAATTATAGTAATTCATTTACAAATTAAAGAACTCACTTTTCAAATTCAAAACGACGAAGGTTGTGTAACGTATAATAAACACATTTTAATAGATATCATTTAGTAAAATCTTCAGCCCAGAGTTCCGCAATAATTCTATCACAATACTCTCGGATCTTTGGGTAATGACTATCGATAATTCTTTGGAACTTGTTAGGGAATGGGTAGTATGCAGATGCAACTTCTCCGAAAACTGCGCAGTCAGCCTGAAAATCAAAATGTGCCGTTAATGAAAATAATAAAGCAATTACCGATGTGATCTTGTCACCAAACAAGAACTTTCCCCGAATAGAGTTTTGCACAGCTACAAGATCTTTGTGACACAGCAACTCTGTCTCTTCTTCTGTGAAACTTCCAATTGAGAGTCCAACTCTTGCATGGACCTATGACAACAAAGTTGGTGAAAATCTTTAATCTTCTCTTCACAAACCTTGCTCATGAATAATTTTTTGATTATTGGACGAAGAATTGTTTTCAAAAAGTTTGGTCCTGGAACCCCTCTTAACAGGGCATCGTACCATCCTTCTTCCGAAGCCTTGTACTTCACAATGAGACCCAATAAATGATTGTCTACAAGTCTGGAGATCGCTGTTGCCTGAGCCTCCAATTCTGGTGCAAGATTCTGAAAATGCGATAAACAATGTTACATTACTGATTAATTTTTTGCTTACCGGAACATGGAAATGCTCTCTGAGTTTCGTCTCAATGAGATCCGAATCTGGAATGTGCTCCCCGTTTAGCTCAACGAAAGGGAGTGTTCCATTTCTAGACCGCAATGATGGAGTCTCAATAATTTCATGAGGAATCTTGAAGGCTCTCAGAAAAGTTTCAATTTTCAAACAGTAAGATGAAAGATTCGGAACGGTATTTGTGCGAGGAAATTGGTAAAGGTAGGCAACATCTTTTTGGAAATCTGGTTTGTGGATCTGAAAAAGTCCAATAAAGTAAAGATGGGCTCTATTAAAAATAATACCTTTGGAGTAGAAGGGACACTCGGAGTTGTGAAAAACGTTTTGAAAATCCAGAAGATTAGTTTCAGCAAGTATAAGACGATAATTATAATAGCAATGATCTCCAAAATCATTGCGCCTGAAAGATGAAACATTTTGAATTCGATTGAGATTGAAAACACGAAAAATCTCAACGACGTTTATATACAGAAAGAATGAGATGATCCGAATATGATGTAACTCCCTCTCCTAAAAGTCTATGAATCTTCTGTTCTACATATTTCAAATTAGGATTCAAGTTAGGATCTTCTCAATAAAATCAATAAAACGAGACAAGCCAATGACGGGAACAGTAGAGACTCTTCTCCACTACTAGAGCCTTTAAGTGTGGATTTGACCTCGGATTGAGGTAGATTAGGTCCTCGATTCTCTTTTTCCCATTATGATCAATTTTGTGTCGGACACATTTCCTCACCCCTGCGTCTTTGTACTCTCTCGAGAACACATGTGGAGAAGACAGTTGAGATAACACTAGATATAATTGGTGTACGCCAGGTTTGTTTGGTCGAGAAACATTTTTTTCTTGGTTTCTTTTTAAAATGTACCCAGGGATTTTTCAGCTTTCTGATTAAACCTTCTTTTTTTGTAAACAGGTAAGACGAGGTTACCGAAAAGCGTACAACCGGCGAATGAAGAACAGAGAGTTGGTTTTAACTTAACTCTTTAAGCAAATGGTGAACAGTTTGAGACAAAAAAGTATAAAAGGCAATTATTAGTACTCAAACCATAATGAAAAAAACTGATTTTTTTGATAAAAAATTTTGAGAAATTTGATTTCATGGATTTTTTTCTTTTTTAAAGCACAATTTATGAAGAAACATATTTTTCATTAAGGTTCGAGTACTAATGATTGCCTTTCTTTTTTGTCCCAAATGTTTCCTCATTTGCTTACTATTAGAGGCGCAAGCTATAGCCAACTCTTGGATCTTCAGCTGCCGATTGCACGGTTTTCAGAAACTGCGCCTTACATGAACGTTTAACTGCATGTTTCGACTTATACATGAGATAAAACAGTTTATTTATCATTTTCAGAAAATAAAAAGAAAATTTTATCGGGACTAAAATTAAACACAGAAATCATTTGGATAAACTTGGCTTTTGACTCTTTCACAAAACTCGAGAATCTTTGGGAAATCCTTTTCTAGGACCTCCGTGATATGAGTGTGGAATGGATAATAGACAGCGGCCAGTTGACTGAAAAATGCAGCATCCACGGGAGTGATTTGATCTCCAAATAAGAATTTCTTATCTTCAAGAACCGTTTCGAAAACTTTCAAATCTCTATGAAGCAGCTCGTCAAGCTCTTCTGGCTCAAAATCTCCAATTGCTGATGTGGAGTTTTTATAGATTTGTCCTCCAATTGTCTGTTTCATGAATGGGATTGCGAGTGGAATGATATAGGGATTGAAGTCCTAAAGTTCGAGGAAAGTCTTGTACAAGATGTTGTCAGCTCAGTGGTATCTCATCAGAATACTGAATAGATGAGTTTTTTCTAATATTGATATATTTACCACTTACTGCAA